ATAACACTGGAATGTTATGAGATCAGAACACCCTGCCTTATCAGCTATATCTTGACCAATTAATCCTCCATGATGTGATATATGATGCAAGATATTTATGATTAGATTCACAGCTTTTCCCATCTGTATCCCAAAGATCTTGATTTGATAGCTTGCAGATACAGAGTTGATGTCTGCACAGTTAATGTTAGAACACATAAATATAACAAAACAGCTTTTAAGCAGAAGTTTAGAAAATACTGGGTTGAAATCAAACATGACCAAATGTCTGCGCATTGATTTAAAGATAACCATATTCATTTGTTGTTCATGTTTTATAAAAATATCTTTCAAGTTATATCAGCACATGCACTTTCTTGATTATTCCAGTATTCAGTTACTCCTTAAATCAGAAACTAGGGTTCAGTTTGTTTTGAAATAATATTTTTAGAAAGAATGACATTGACCTTATCCTGGAGTACAAGAAACAAATTAAGATAAGAAAATCACGATTCTGATTTTAATCTTCCTCCTTGAATTAAAAACATGTTCTGTTTTGATGAACTTAATACCAGCATCAGACCCGTAGCCAGGGGGGTTCACAGAGTTTGGGCGAACCCCCCTAGCCAAAAATTCTTTCAAAATCATTCAGTTTTTCACCATTTTGAGCACTTCTCAAGTGATTTAGCCATATTTGGGCAAAAATTGTTAAATGTGAACCCCCCTGGAAATTTAAAAAAAAATGAACCCCCCTTGGCAAATCCTGGCTACGGGCCTGAGCATCTAAGATATACATATGACTAAAGGAAAGATCTTGCTTGTTAACTGACTGCATTAGATCCAAGTGAAGGGTTAGATGCGGATAATATGTTTACTTGATAGCTGCTTGTCATAACATAGCTAATAATCAACTGTGAAATCAAACCTCCTCACTTGAAAACTGCTCAAAACAATTTCATTCTGAATTCATTCTACCATTAAAGTGTATAAATGGCACACGTAAGTAATTCTTGATACCATGTTCAAAAATTTTACATTTCAAAGAAAAATGTTTGTCAGCCTTTTAATTAGTATCAGGCATGGGTGGCACAGGCCTCATTAACAACAGGTGTAAAACATGTAATTTACTATGAAAACATATATAAAATAGGTGTATTTATGAAAAACAGCAGTCAAATTTTGCTTAACATTATGTTAAATTTACCACCCGCTGCCACCAAATGAAAAGGCTGAATATAGAAGGGTGTGGAAAGGGGTTCCTGCCATGAGTAGAGATTTGTTGTATAGACTGTCAGTACAAGTAGAGATTGTTCACATGTTTGGTCTGACAGTTTGTCAGTTTGAGGAGTGGATGATGTAATGTTATGTTGTTGGACTGTACTGGCTCTAATTGAATTTCTTAAGTGAAAAACAGTGGCGGATGTTGTAAAGGTTATGGTTCAATAAATTGTTTGTTTTTTCTGAAGTGGTTAGTTTGTCTTAATGGTTGTATTTACAAAGCACAACTGTGCAAAATAACAGGATTGTTCACAAGTAGATGCAAAATAAACTCATTAACAGTTTTTCTTACAAATCAAAATATGTACTGGGGGTTCCAAGCCAACTTTCTCAAAAACAGGGTTAAGGTAGAGAGGGACTTCTAGTGGAGAAGTCAACTTCTACAAATAAAGAACATGCAGAAAATCAATTTAAACTAAACTGGATCATTCATTGTTAAAACTACATGATTATTAAAAATTGTATGCTATAATGATCTCAGTAAACTTCATAGACCCTAGATGTTGCCCTGGTATATCAGGTAGTCATAACAGAGCCAGTTAGCTCGTTGCAACTGACCATAAGCATACAAACCCTCCATTTTAGCTCTTCTATTGCTGACTGCTACAACCAACCAGCTATTTTTTTCTACTCTTGCGGTGTTATTCATATTTTGATTTGTATATACATTTTGATTTAGCATTATTTAAATCATTATTTAATATAGAATCAAGTACATATATAGTTATATTCAACTTGCTATACCCAAAATTCTTTAAAAAAACCATGGACTTTCAAACTCTAGGGTGCTTCATATTTGACCAAAAATCACTTGAAAAGTGCTCACAACAGTGAAAAATTGCATGATTTTGATGGAATTTTTGGCAATTGGAGCTCCCCCTGACTATGGGCCTGGTGTCTTGTCAGTTATAGGCCTTCTTATTAGGTAGGGTGTTACTACAAACCATGAAACAGCTGTCTGGGATCATTATAAACAATCCCATAGTTATCTCTTGTGTTCAAGTGGCAGAAGTCGCAACTAGAAAATTGACCCTACCACTTATACCACTTATATTACCCTACATAGACCACGGTGTTATAGCATGACAGATACGACAAGGCAATTGGCCAAATTTTGCGGTAACGATAACAAAAAATGGCGGACGGGAAAGACAGCATGTCCTCTTTTTCGCCTGTAGGCAAGATTCACAGATAAACTTTCCTTTTCAACTAGTTCCATTCGGTGATGCATATGTGAATGGTTATAAAGATTGAGTTAAATCTGTCGTGTGGTCTACAAGAAGCAGAATATAAGCTGTAAACCTACCCAGCTGAGATTTCGAAGTTCATAATTTTTAGTCCTTTTCGTGTTTTCTCAGTATATGTGCCTCAGAGCCACTCAAAATACTAACTGTACGTAAACTGTGTATAAACAAGCCATAAAATGACAATTGCAGAACAGAAATGTGGTAAATATTGTAGATAATAAGGTTTCAATCGCAAGGTCGTTAGACAGATACGTATGTATTGCATGCTTTTTTATGGACAGCAACGCATTGTATTAGTTTTACATTAGATGTTAGCGGACAGTTACATGCAAGTTCCTGTCAAGTCAAGGTCCCTAGATGGATAGCTCTCTATGTGTGAACTGCCTATATTTGTTTTCAGGACTCGCAAGAGAGTCGAGACGCTCTTGCTTGAGCCTCTATAGGGCAAGGAAAAAATAGCGAAAGCCAATGAAAGTGAAAATGATTGTAATGAAGAGGCAAAGGAAGAAATTAGTAACAACGAACAGGCGACGGAAGAAAACAACTCCAAATTAATTGATGATGTCATAAGTGACATTAGACATATATTACCATTATTACAAATCATATTCAGCTGTTTATGTCACCATCTTCATAATAGTACAATAGCGTCATTTCTGCTGGCAATATAGTGAAATATTGGACCAAGGGCCGCAGGCCCAAGGTCCAATATTTCACTATTTTGCCCGCAGAAATGACGTTATTACCATTATTACCACCGTTAATGCCCAGGGCTGAAATAGCAAATTTGAAATAGAAAATCTTACGCACTGAACGATATCACTTTTCCCGGGAAACATAGCCGGGCGAATAATATCATTATTGCCCGACTAAAGTCATTAACGCCCGACACAATATTGCTCACGTCAATATAGCAATTTAAATGCCTTCTCAACTAGTACTAAAACCCCTAGAACAGGCCCTGCAAGGTGGTAATAATACGATTTCAACTATTATAGCTTACAAAACTCAAATCCGGTTGAAAACATTTCAATTTTGGATCACAATTAAGCGATATGAAATGATTCGGTTTTACATATATGAACGAGGTTCGCGTAACTGTCTATCAATTTTTGGCGTATCCGCAAATTCAAAATACATTATTATGGCTTGAGTAGAACTTATTAAGTGGTTTACAATGCTTAATTGGCTTTGTATGATCGTATGTAGGTTACATTTATATACACCAAGGTTGTTGCGCAATGTAGAGCATGTCCTAACGAAGAAAAGAAACAAATTACTAAATTTTATGAAGTTTTGAATTTCAAACTCGACAGTTTTTCGCTTATTTCATGTTATCCATGGGCGTCGATTTGCAAAGACTACGTTCAAAATAAACATTACTGAATGCATCACCGAATGCGACGATTACATAAATCTTTCATGCTTTTATTGATACGCAGTAGTAGAACATAATGCACCTACCTTAGCTTTCTGTTTCATCGTGGCCATTTTATTCGATAAATCAGTGATCGTATACGACTAACCTCGTTTTCAGAGGTGGCGTATCTGTCATGCTATAACACCGTGTAGACCTGCTACATGCTTCTTAGCTTGAAAAACAGTAATAATGACTCATCATTCGTGATATTTAGAAAGTCAATTCAGACAAATATTTATATTACTGAGTTTCATTAACTGTTTTTGACTTTTCTTAACATAAAGAAGGACAAGTTTCATGTTTCAGGGAAGATAAAGTTGTTAAAAAATTGATTAGCTAGCTGTTATAATTTCATCATCAGGGACTGTTATAACACACTCAAAGATCTTCTGTGAGTCCCAATATCATATGTGTTTCAGCTTACCTTGATTATGAAATGGCTTAAAGGGCCAACAAGGACTGTAGAGAGAAAATTCGAAAATTTTTAATTTTACTGAGCTATCAGATCAATATTTGGCTATGGGCCATGATTTGGCTTAACATCATCTTTGACATACCTTTTTTCTTAAAATCTCAAAGATCTTCTGTAAGTCCAAATATGTGTTTCAACTTACCTTGATTATGAAATGGCTTAACTAATCCATGTTTTGTACATTTTAGACCTCTATGTTTCTTGGTATTCTTGATTATCTATATTTTATACACATGATATTTTAATGTATAATACTCATATTTTCTGAGGTTGTATTCGCGAATGCAACTAACGCCTGTCGGCTAGCGGATTAATCATACTTTTTTATAGGCAACTCATTTAAATATGAATAGTGACTGCCACTATTTCATTCATACTTAAATAAGTTGATCATAAAAGAGTAGGTTAATCCGTTAGCTGACAGGCATTAGTTGCATTCATGAATACAAGCTGAGTTTTAGCTACATATTGTATTTGATACAAGCTCTCAATTGAACTGTTTATTGTTTTGTATGTTTTGGTCATCCATATTGTGATATGGCTGAACAATAAGTAATTTGTTTGTCGTAATATGGCATAACCAACCTATATTTCTGCATTTCAGCAAGAGCCCCTATTGTCATCTGGCAAAATGGATCTAGCTTCTTGAGTTTTGGCTATGACATGTTAGACGCATCGAACAATAGAGTAAGAATCCTGGGGCAGGAAGGAGGGATGAAAAGATGGCAGTTACAGATAGATGATATCCAGCTCTATGATCAGGGAGAGTATAGCTGTAAACTGAACACAGTACCCGAAGCACAATATCAGAGAAACACTCTCACTGTGCAAGGTAACCTATTATCGTATGATCTGTAAAATGAAGCCCTCTGATTGGTCAGTTCTTGTGCTTTGTCTCATTCCAATACAGAATTTCTCGAGCAGAATATGGCCTGTATTGCACTTCAAATCATTCAATAACTTATAATATTGTCAACTATGAAACTGACTAATTGGAAGTAGTCCCTGATTAAGAAGGATATATTTCTTAAAAGATGTTTCCTATATCCAAAACCAACAAAGGTGTATATACATATGTATATCTGGGCTTTTCATCTGTTGAAAGCCCACGGTTTGTCTAAGAGCTTCTAAGATGTGGTTCAAAAGCTTGTTAAACAAATTCAAGTAAATTGTGATAAACTATGTGCCAAACACCAAAAACCTCAGCAATTTGAAGTTATTTATTTGAGTGAAATTAGTTTAATGTCCTCAAGCTTTATGTAACCTTGAAACTGACTACCGTGCTATAGCTGTAGAAATACGAGAAACATGAAGGCTGCATTTATGCCTGGGTCACATTTGCTCCGATTTGCTCTGATTGAGTATCCTGTCCACAATTGTATTCAATTTTGAATTGATTACTCAATCGGTCTGGTGCCCGGCGATGAATAGGAGCAAATATGACCCAGGCAATATGTACATGCTTTGACTGGGAGCAAGATTTTAATTCTAAAAATTGGCTAGTTCGTGGTTATACCACAATACTAGTATGTGTGTATGGGGACTAGGGCAATAGACCACTCCTGCCATCTTTCTGTTAACCTAATTCACTAAAAACTTTGTAAAATTCTTAGGTTTTGGGCCGATATAAAGATGGTAGCACCGACAGGATCTAGTATTATATTTTTCTCTCAGGTGCTCGAGTTTTTGATGTCGTTTTTGAATTCCAATTTCCGTCAACTTGACACTTCTCTCAACTTAAAAAAATAACTAAACATATGGAATGACATACCTAGCACATAGAATCGATGTATTATGACATATTGAGGGACTGACATGTCATTAAACGGCACTGCCCCGCTTTGCGAAATTAGCCATGGCATGAAATGTGGATTTTAAAAGTACCACTTCGGCACCCATTGTGGTTCAGAGAGAATTGCCATATTGCTATAGATACTAAAAGGACCAATGTTTATTTCTTATTGTTTTAGAGCGCCCTTCAATAGAGATTAACCCAATTGATCCTACTACTGAGGACGGAACCTATGAGATGAGAGAGGGGGAGAGCCGCATTATTTCATGTGACGTCATTAAAGGAACCCCAGAACCACAAGTCAAGTGGTTAAAAATGGTAAAATTCTTGATTTAACATGTGTGTTCAGTGTTCACTGTATCTATAAGACCTTATAGACTTTTTAAAGATGAATATCATATTAAGCAACATTACATAGAACCCTACTGAATATACGTAACTTGTACTGAATAAAGCATGGCTTACATTTTACAAAGACGAACATTATCCTCCATAAGTTTGGTAAATGGAAATATTCACAGCCATTTAATGTTTGAATCTTAATTTAGTTCCTTAATTACAATATTTTGGAAATATTTGACAACATTTATGATCCTTTTAAAATGCCATGCTAAAAACAGGGTTTTTAATAAGTTGTGGAAAAGAAGATTTCGGCTTTCCAAACTTATTGAGGGGGTGTATGATTTATGTTGTTATATCAATCAATTAAAAGTAAAATATCATTGTATCAGTGTACAATCACTTATAGCTTTTATTACATCACCACCAAAAATGGTGACATGTTGTTACAGCTTTTGTAACATTCATTTAACATTGGGATCTGTAACAAATTGTTACCTTTATATAACATGTTAACATCTCATACTACAATATAAATACAGTAAAACCTGTGTATATTGAACATTATTTCCAATTAAGGTGTTCACTACAGAAAGAGTAATTTATTTATACAGAAAACAGTAGAGAATGTGCGTAGGAAGAGTGTCCACTAGAGACAGGTGTTCATTAAAGAGAGGTGTTCATTAAGACAGGTTTTACTGTATAATATATAATTTGTTACAGGGTGCTTACAGGGTGAATACCAATGATTATGGAGTAATATTAGAACTGCCAGGAAGTGAACTGATACTGAATGATGTCAGTGCTGATGATGCTGGAACCTATCAGTGTGTGGCTGACAATAAAGTAGGACCACCTGCAACTATGACGGCCAAAGTCATGGTGCATTGTGAGTAATCTGGAGCAAAAAGCAGTGAAATCAATTTGCAGAAGTGTAATGTATTATCAATCTTCATGACATGACTCTAAATGTTTCTGAGATAATCTCTTGCAAAAATTTATTGGTTATACCTCGTACTAATACTGTAACTGTGATGGGATTATTATGTCCCCACCAAGATGTGGTATTACCTACTGTTATAGCTATCATTTCTGGAGAACAGTGTCTGGTATAACATTGTGTACCAATAAGTTACACCTGTGAAATCATTTGAAATAACTAACCAGGTCATAACATTTTGTCACATTCATGCCTTGTTTTTGGATCAAATTTTGGTGAGCCTTTGAAATCATTACCTCATCTGACGTTTATTATTGTAACTTAAAAAGAAACTATTTCTTCATTCAGATCCCCCCAGTGTTGATGTGAACCGCAAGCAACGCCAAGTAAAGCCCCGAGACCCAGTGAACATAGATTGTGTTGCTAGTGCATCTCCTGCCCCTGAAGTCTACTGGTTCCACAATGGCAGGGAACTATTTTTTGAGGATGAAAATGGACCGTTTGAAAAAGCAGACCTAGGCACAGCTGCAGATAGCAATCCAGATCCTAATTCACACACATTCAGGTACATTTAAAATGCATATATTCAGTGCATTCATCATATAATCAGGTACATTTATAATATATTAACATACATTTAGGAACATTGATTGTACATGTAGCTAGTAGCAACATCATACATTTAGGTACATTCAATGAGCATTCAAGATAAATACTGTATACATGAGTCCAATAAAATCCTTTGGATCCATCACTATAAGAATATAAAAAGTGCCTCCAGAGCATTCATAACTATTATGACATATAATATTGTATTTAGTAAGGAGTTAATTATGGCATAGTGTTCAGTTTAATCCTAAGTGACATTAAGGTCATTTTGACCGTGTAAAGGTCAAGTAAGTGCATATCTGCAAATCAAACATTCCTGTGTGCAAAATCATATATATTTGGAGTAATTTTTATGTGTTACATGTGTCTATTTTATTTAAGGTTGACCATCAAGTCTGTAGAAGCTTCAACATTGGGAGAGTACGCTTGTGAGGTTGAAAATTCAGAAGGCAGAGATGAAGCTGTTGCTAAAATCTTAGGTAACATAAGTGTTTATGTGGTCAGATCAGTCACATAGTGCTCAGTTTTTATGTCACCACCAGAAGTGGTGATATATTGTTATAGTCTCCAACTTTTTTGTGGGTGGTGTTTGGCAGTTAGTGGTCAGTGTCTGTAACAAGTGGCAGGTGGTGACATTTTGCATGTTAACGCCTTGTTCATAAAGACTTCTTTTCTTTGTTCTTGGACATTGATTGATACAGTCCAATTCTATTGGTGGTGCAAGTTATAGGACCAGTGATACAGGGTGACCCAAAATGAATGCAACCCATAATGTACTTCTATAACCGATAAGATAAATGCTTCATTTTTCACTCATATCAAACTGAGGTGATAACAAATGAGTCCTGAAATTGTGGGTCCTGCCATTCGAATGGTCCGTCTTCTATGTCCTTTCAAAAATGTCTTCGATATGATCACATTGACGTTGCAGGCACTACTGAATGCGGCGCACAAAGTTGTCAATTTTGCATACAAGCACATTTATGGGTTGCATTCTTTTTGGGTCACCCGATACTATTTATTCTAATTTCTGTGTATTTTAAGCAGATTTTAAGATCAGTGTTAGCCACTGAAGTCCTCAAGGAATTGACCATAACTGAAGTTTCACAGAGAAAATCCTGTCACATATTTTAGGAAAATATTGTCACAATGAAAATCCTGTATGTTTCTCTGAATGTCTATTTCAGGTCTGCCACAACAAACTGAGATAACAAGTAATCCTATGTCACCATATGGGGATACCTACCCCTTAGAATACAAAGCCTCATCTAAATCACCTTTCTTACTGTTTAACCTACAACTCAGGGGCATTAATGTAAGTTTTACCTATTAATAAAAGAGGGCAATGTTTACTAAAAGATGAAGTCAGTCAACCTTGATAACTCTTTGCCCACCACTGTGGCATTGGACACACTATAGTTTTAGTGTACTATATTCATTGTCACTGTTAGATTGCTACAATTAAAGTAGAATCCCAACATTTTATGATACACTTTGCTCTTGAAGCCTGTTGTTCTGCAAAATAGAATGGTTTTAAGATTACTGCTGAGAGTAATAGTGTTTTTAGTACAGTAAAACCTGTATAGGTGGAACAACTTTCATACCTTTAAAAAGTGTTTAACCTGGGAGGTGTTCCACTTATGGAGGTTCATAATAAGACTCTGGAAATTGTTCCACTTTTGATATTGTTCTACTTACAGAGGTGTTCCATTTAGGTTTTACTATATAGTCATTTAATAAAGGCTTCTGAAATAATTGACTTGAAAAAAACCCAGAAAACTTTGGTCAGTCGAATCTTTTACAATTGCGGAGTTTCACCTGTTACAGGTAAATGGCAGTGAAAACACAGGTGATTGGGTCAACATAACCATACCTGCCACCAGCTCTGGGCCACAATCTCACTGGCTTAGTGATCTCAGTCCTAATTCTCAGTACGAGATAAGACTTCAAGCTGTTAATGGATTCGGAGCAGGGCCATTCAGCGATATATTCACATTCAGCACTGGAGAAAGTATGTATATTTCATATCTTTGGTTAGCATGGGGAATGGATATTATATCTGTTATGTACACATATGATCAAGATTCTCACGGTGGCCATGAATTTTCCCCGCTTCTCTAAAATAATATGAACATTTTGACTTACTTACTTATTTACATTAGTGTATATATTTATATAATTAAACCTTCTGTCACTCTCCCTGCTTCCATAGTAAGGGCTTTAAGTCTTCCACCTTACCTTAGCACAGTGCTTTCAAGGACACGTCCCTGCAATGATGGGTCCCGAAGATTCATTTGAGGGAAATTACCATAACAATTAACCATTATCCTAACATATGCACATACACAGAGGGATGCAGCAGCATACATTTTAAGCATTATTATGTCACCACCAAAAGTGGTGACATATTGTTATGGTCTCCGTTTTTTTGCGACGGCGGTTGGTGGTTGGCATCCGGCGGTTGGTGGTTGGCGTCCGGCGGTTGGCGTCCGGCGTCTGTAACAATTTCTTACAACTTCCTATAACATAACAAATACTGTTTAGATTGACTTCAATTTTTTCTAAATCATCTACATGTTCTCAGAAGTTCAAATCTGACTTTAGATTTGACATTTGACCTTCAATGACCTTCTCAAGGTCAAAAAGGTCTTTTTTCAACTTGCTTCACATTGACTAAATCTTTTTTCAAAATCATCTACATGTTCTCAGAAATTCAAATCTGACTTTAGATTTGACTTTAGATTTGACATTTGACCTTCAAATCTGACTTTAGATTTGACATTTGACCTTCAATGACCTTCTCAAGGTCAAAAAGGTCTGTTTTCAACTTGCTTCAAATTGACTAAATTTTTTTTTCAAAATCATCTACGTGTTCTCAGAAATTCAAATCTGACTTAAGATTTGACTTAAGATTTGACATTTGACCTTCAATGACCTTCTCAAGGTCAAAAAAGGTCAAAAAGGTCTGTTTTCAACTTGCTTCAAATTGACTAAAAAAATTTTCAAAATCATCTACGTGTTCTCAGAAATTCAAATCTGACTTTAGATTTGACTTAAGATTTGACATTTGACCTTCAATGACCTTCTCAAAGTCAAAAAAGGTCAAAAAGGTCTTTTTTCAACTTGCTTCAAATTGACTAAAATTTTTTTTCAAAATCATCTACATGTTATCAGAAATTCAAATTTGACTTTAGATTTGACATTTGACCTTCAATGACCTTCTCAATGACAAAAAAGGTCAAAAAGGTCTTTTTTCAACTTGCTTCAAATTGACTTAATTTTTTTTTCAAAATCATCTACATGTTCTCAGAAATTCAAATATGACTTAAGATTTGACTTTAGATTTGACATTTGACCTTCAATGACCTTCTCAAGGTCAAAAAATGTCAAAAAGGTCTCTTTTCAACTTGCTTCAATCAAATTGACTAATTTTTTTTTCAAAATCATCTACATGTTCTCAGAAATTCAAATCTGACTTTAGATTTGACATTTCACCTTTAATGACCTTCTCAAGGTCAAAAAAGGTCAAAAAGGTCTGTTTTCAACTTGCTTCAAATTGACCAAATTTTTTTTTCAAAATCATCTACATCTTTTCAGAAGTTCAAATTTGACTTTACAAGTTCTCAGAAGTTCAAATCTGACTTTTGATTTGACCTTGACCTTCAAGGTCAAAAAGGTCTTTTTTCAACTTGCTTCAAATTTACTTAATTTTTTTTTCAAAATCTACATGTTCTCAGAAGTTCAAATCTGACTTTAGATTTGACATTTGACCTTCAATGACCTTTTCAAGATCAAAAAGGTCTTTTTTCAACTTGCTTCAAATTTACTTAATTTTTTTTTCAAAATCATCTACATGTTCTCAGAAGTTCAAATCTGACTTTACATTTGACCTTCAATGACCTTGTCAATGTAAAAAAAAGTCAAAGAGGTATTTTTTCAACTTGCTTTAAATTGACCAAATTCTTTTAGGTGGTGACATTTTGTCATGTTAATGCCTTGTTTCAAAGATAAAATTATCTAAATTTATTGTAAAAGTTTCATTATGATGGGCGATAATAGAGTTAGCATAAAAGATTAAAAGCATTCCCTTTGTAACAAAAGTACTGATTCAGTAACTTCAAAATTATTTTAAATGAAAGATAAATTCTATTGCTGCTATTGAATTGTGACTCTTGTCAAAATGGTCAAAATTAGATAAATCAGAATAGCTTTGAAAACTAAATATTGATATATTTCCAAGTGAGCAGAAATAAATAATACATGAAACAATGACATGAGGTTTGCAATATGATATATACACTATATAGGGGAATAAAATTTGCCTCCCACAGATACGAATAGCGGGCAGTCGATCCAAATTGATAATTTGGAGAATATGCCAACATTCCATGATTTAATATTTGATATACATGCCATATTTAATTCATGTAGGAAAATCTGGCCACCAGGTAACGGATCTCAATATATGTATAGATATCTAAATTTTGAGAGAACAGTCTTTAAGTTGAAGTTGAAATGAAGGGAAATTTAAACTCTGTTTTTAATCTGAATTGCAAATTAGTGTTGCATTTGTGTTTCAAACATGTTGCCTCATGTGTTCGCAACATTTTCTTGCAAAACCTAAATGTGCTTTCTTTCTACATGTACTGTACATCAAATTGCCTGTCTTAGCAATTTTGTAATAAACAACAATATAAAAACAATGCTGATTTGGAAACAGAAAAATTAGGACACAAAGCTAGGGAGCATGACATATTGTATTTTTATAATGCTGTAGTGAAAGCATGTTTTCTTTTCCTAAATCAGCATTTTTCAAAAATTTAACTTTTTAAAAGGATTAAAAAGTGGAGTTTATTTAAGGCCATTCAAAGTTAATCATATATTTAACATTCTGTTGAGGGGCTGAATCTCAAGGGTAGATGGTGAAAAAAACATGTATTTTTATTATTTCAAAATAGGTTTCCTATGATTTTATATTAAAAATTCTATAAAATCTGCAGAAAACATTTTAATGAGGACAATATTCAGTCACTCTGACCACCGAATACATTATGTATGTAATTATGTTGACCTATTTATTTTTTGATTGCCGAAGGTCTGAATTATAATTTAAATGTGTGCTATCCTCAAGTTTTGTCTTGCTAAAAGTAATCTAAGAGGGATGGGACATTAAACATATATTTATTTAACATTGAATGGCCTCAGATCCATTGGATTTGATGTAAATGTTGTAACTAAATCTTGAATTGTAATCCCAATAGCTGATTGTAGAAAATCTAGATTTTTTTCATCAGAGTATTTCTAACCACTGTAGGTCTATTAATTTTTTCAAAAACTAAAGTGAGCATTTTCTGTAGTTTTTGTTCTACCCTTCTCTATTATGAAAATACGTTATTGCCCAAATGCTCTATATTTATGTGTACATGTATGTTGTTGTGTTGGCTAGCTAAGCGCCCTGAAACTACCACTCCAGCTCCCACTACCACCCCTACTACCACCATGGCAGAACAGGAACCCAATGAGACGGAGATGAATGACACGATTAGTGACTCTGGGAGTACACCAGGTGAAAGCTCATACCATACTCTAACACAGGGAGAGTTTTACCTGGCCTTAAATGAACCTTCCCTACTGATTCAGCACACAATGAAACTAAGATTTTACAGGAGTTATATGAATAAGTATCTACACTTATACACTAACCAAAATGTAAAATCTCAGTTTTATGCCTGTGATCATAGACATGGGGTTGATAGAAAGAGGGCAGTAGCGGGTGGTCTATTTATACAGGGTGTCCATGAAGTCTACACTTTACACAGATTTTGTATTGTAATTGTTGAGAGTTTATGAACACCCTGTAACTTTGGGTATAAATAGACAATCAATACTGCCATTTTTCTTTCAACCTTGTACTTCTGTTTATGATCATTCCCAATGTTCAGAATATACAGTCCAGGGCTTAATTTAGAAATAGAGGTAGGGAGGGGGGCTATCAACTATTAACCCAAGTATCATGGTTTACAGATATTAAGGAGTTGAATTTCTTTAGTCAATTTAAAGATTGTGTGTAACATGTCTAGTACTTGTAGATTATATAAAGTACATTTTCCCTATAGGTTCTGAGTTGAGCCCTGGTACTTGTGTATATTGGATATTTATCCACTCACTTTCTCATACAGTCATAATACCCAATCCTTATATCCAAAATCTCTTGTTTTACACTAATTTTGTTGTTTTTATTATCATCCTTATTTTTCCATTTTTCAGTTTATTTCTTCAGTTTTCTATTCCTGATGCCGCTGGATCAGTCAATCTGATATTAACATGCAATGTATGTGTCATAACTAATAATCTGTTTCTCTAATATTCTAACTTCACCAATCATGGAATGTCTTGTGTTATCCCTTGACATATTTTCTCTGGTTTGTCCTGCCTGAAGAATTAGGATTGCGGGATTTCATCGAAGTATTAGGCTGCATTCCTGTGTGGAAAATATATTTGATTTAAGCATGACATATCGAGGCTAATACATCAAAAATGGTCGCACTCAACAGTCATTATTGGATGCGCTTATTATCTAGATAATAATTCTTTGTGTCACAATGACTGGATCATGATTATGCATATTTTATTTGACTAGAGCCTTTATGCTTTCATAGCTACGCTTTCTGATGACGAATGTTCTTTTATGATTTTGGCACTTTTGGCAGGTTGTAGGACAACCCAAAGAAAATGGTGGTATTTTAACCACATCAATAGACAAATTTCACCGTGTCTCGGAATTATAGATAAATGAATGCTTTTTTAGATACTGCATGCTTTAGATGTTTTATCTTGTTTTGTTTACAAATTATGCAATCTGCTTTGTTCATGTATAAAATATGTTGCCGCTTTCTGTCTGAATGTCTCATTAATATTGTGTTTTAAATATTTTTTGAAATTTTGTTTGTTTCTGAGTATATCATGTACAGTTTAGTGGGAAACATAACCTTTTATTTTGTCCTGAGTTTATGAAAATCCAGCATTCTCATTGGTTGGGGAGTACTTTACATTCTAAGCTGATTATTGTATCTCTATTATGATGCATATATTACTCATATTTACTCCAACACTTATTATTTTTACACATAGTTCTGAAAGTATGATATATAGGACATGGGTTCAAGTGAAAATGTAAAACAGTAGACTGGTGATTCATTTCAATTTTGTTAGAATTCAAGCACTAGTGATTTAAGGAATGAAGACCGAGATTCTGTGATTTATGGCGCTATATATGACCGAAAATTTCATTTTTTTGATTTTTAAAAGACCAAAATCGCGGACCGATTGAGATCTTTGGTAATGGCCAGAATAAAATTTGAGGTCATATATTTGCCATAAATCAGAGAATCGAGGTCTTTGTTACGATTTACGATGATAAACTAGACCAGAAAAAAAACAACTTTTTGCACATATGAAATTTAGTGGTCATACATACTCAAGTATAGACCAGTAAATCAATTGTTCTAGTAATTGAGACGTCACGTATCATATTAGAATAGTTATTATAGAGTACCATTCTGGGTCATGATCAAATTTTATCTTTTTAAAAGTGATCATACAATGAGAATGGCATTATACCAGATGAGAAATGTTCAGATTTAAAGTGTATTTAAAAGAAGTAATGTACAGGGTGACCAAAAAATGATAAAAAGTTTCTTATAGCTTTCATTAACATTGATATTTGGATCTTGAGTTCATCTCTCCCTTAAGACATGCCAAACATAAATGTTTTGGCTCTAAATGAAATGCTCGGAGATTGACAAAGTTATTCCAAATATATGAATATAAAGCACCTCCTTTTTAGTGACACCACCAAAAAGACATATTGTTATGGTATCCTGTTTTTTTGTGGCGGTGGTTGGCGATCGGCACTTAAAAACTTCCAATAACTTATCAAATACTGTTTAGACTGCCTTCAGTTTTTTTCAAAATTATCTTCAAGTTTCCAGAAGATCAAATCTGACTTTAAGATTTGACCTTCAGTGACATTTTCAAGGTCAAAAAGGTATTTTTTCAACTTGCTTTAAATTTACCAATTTTTTTTCAAAATAGTCTACAAGTTATCAAAAGTTCAAATCTGACTTTAGATCTGAGATTTGACCTTCATTGACCTTTTGAAGGTAAAAAAAGGTCAAAAGTTGCTTCAAATATTACCAATTTTTTCAAATTCATCTAGCAGTTCTCAAAAGTACAAATCTGATTATAGACTTGACCTTCAATGAAATTCTCAAGGTCAAAAACGTCTTATTTCAACTTCCTTCAAATTGACCAATTTTTTCAAAATCATCTACAAGTTCTCAGAAGTTCAAATCTGACTTTAGATTGAACTAATAATATTGTGAGCAACTAGGTGGTGACATTTTGTCATGTTAATGCCTTTTTTGGTGCTTGCTTCGCTCACTGTAAAGCAAACCCAAAAGATCGCACCGCTTGATAATTGCTGGTCATGCCCTTGTAGAGGATTTCATTTTTTGGGTCACCCTGTACATGAAATAAACTATTGGTCAGTACAACACATGCATATTATTTGGATATCTCTCATAATCCCTTATATTCTATCATAACAAGAATTAGCAGCTTATTAGTGACTTGTTAGAAAAAACATAGATAGAGGATCAAAACATAGATATTAGTAATTAGAAACATAATCACCTGTAGTAGGCCTGAATATAAGTATATACATGTAGACATATTTCAAGTATGGTTCAAACGCCACATAATTGGGACGCATATAATAAATCATTGTTTTGTAACATGAAATATCTTTTGTGATTTTCAGTGGATAGACCAGATGTTGGAAAACGCAGTAGTGCTTCCTTTCTATATCCCTCAGTACTTCTTGTGGTTGCCATAGCAATGAGGACATTCTGCTGAGGATACTAGCGCCATCTATCAGGAACTTTCATCATTAAGATAGCCAGCAATATAAGATTGCCACGATTAGGGATGTTCTCTTTAAGGAATCCCAGCAACAAAAAATAAAAGAAAGCATAATATTTGTCACTCAGACTATTTACTATATCTAGTATCTGGGATATTTAGTTAGAATATCAATAGGTAAGAAAAGTTGCACATTTAAATTTAACTTAAAGGTCTTACATCAAGTCTCTGCACAATTGACTACTCCCCTTCACTTTGGACAACTTCCCCAATAGAACAACTCCCCAATAGGACAACTCCCCCTTCGGACAATATCCCTCTTGGGAAAACTTCCCCCATGGGACAATTTGCCTCTTAGGACAACTTCCCCCTTTGGACAATATCCCTCTTGGGAAAACTTTCCCCTTGGTATCCCCCGCTAAAAAGATTATTGTGAACATAGAGTAGGGGAATAGAGGCTTGATGCAAGATGTCAGAATGTATAAACTTTAGGATACAAAGAGAATAGATTCTTCATGGGGGATTTGTATATTCTCTGTTTAGTTGTCTGCAGAGACATGTCATGGTTTTACCTATTTCTAGGTATAGGATCTTTAAGATTTGTTTGTTTTAGTGTTCAAAGGCTCACAATGGCTTCATTTTTTTCATTTTAATTCATTTTAATGCAAGTGTGCCAAGTATTTTTTCATAGTGCAAGAGTTAACATTATATAATACAAAACATAATTAAGTATAGTAAGGTGTGAACTCAACGCATTGAGTTTGTGCAATTTTTCTGCTTCTCATGTGAGAAAACCTAGTGACTAGAGAAAACTAAGTGACTAGAATATAGGTGTATTTTGTTGAAACTTCTCACCTTTTTTGTAGTAGTGTAGTATTATATAGGTGAGGTAAAAATGTGAGGTCAATTTAGAGAGATGAGGCAAAACTTCAGTCAAAGATATTAATCTTTTAAGAATATAAATAGTTTTCACAGTTCAAATATAAAAATGTCAATAAGTGCAGGGGTTTCACTAGAATTTCTCACAACAGGCTAAATAAATGAAAGCAACAAGCAAAATTAATTGAAATCATAAACCAGTGAAAATCGCCTGTTGCCTGCTGCTACTGAAACCCCTGTAAGTGTCAATATTTTTCTGCAAACTTTTGGTGAGGTTATAGCCTCATCTGCCTCATAACTTGCTGTGCCCATGTTTATACATTTTGTATATTTCAATTTTGCCATATTTTGTTTCATACATGTATATGTATATATAAGCTGAGTGTATAAAGTGTATTCATAGTTATTAGATAATCTGTGTACAGTGATCACCAGAAGTGCCAAATATAGATAAATAACTGTACAATTCTCACATTAAGTTCTTAACCCCTGTATTTTATTGAGTATTAGTTCAGTAAAACAGGTGTAAGGGAACACCTCTCTGAAGTGAAAATCTCAAAATGGTAGCAATTTTGGTCCCTCGTTGACTAAAATGGAAAATATGTAAAAAATATGCAAACCTGGTAAATACCATCTATTCTTGATTAATTTTGATGAATGATGATGTTTCTTTAGCTGAAGAATTAGCACCATTAATCATGAATGGTAGTATTGCGAAGGTAATCATATAAGAACTTGTATTTCAAAATATCTTAAAGACTCCATTTTTGAACACTTTAGATTTAAGAGTGTTCACTCTATGTACATATACATGCAATAAATTAATGCATAATTAAAGTCCTCCTACTTGGCTTTTTAGTTGAAATACATAGAGTAAAATATAGATATAAAATATGCATAATTATGATAATGTGTATAATTCTATAATATATACTGGATGTAAAGGGGGTTTAAGTTGGAAATGTGTATATATACATAGTATAGGTAGATTGTGTTTGTATTTTAAGTAAGAAGATATATCTAAGCGATATTAGTTAATTCATCAGATCATGTTACACTTATTTTATCATAATGTGAATCGAAGATATATTCACTCTATTAGAAGTATTGTTATTATATATCAAGCAAAGGTTATCTTAATTGGTCATTTCACTTGGTGCTATATGCTTATCATACAGTAGCTTAACCAGCAGAAGAATTTGGAAACATTAGAGAAAAACGCAATGTGTTTATTGATTTTAATTTTATTCAGTACATGTATTTTAATTTTTTAATTACTGTAAGAATCAAATCTAGATTCTAAATGAGGAAGTAAGTGTAAGAGAAGAAGAAATAAATAACAGTTTTTTTTGTTTTGTATCATAATATTGTTGTACTTCCCAAGAGATTTTACTCCATATTACATGTATTATGTACTGTACTTTTGGATACAGAGAAAAAATGCCTCGGAAAACAAAGTGATTATTGATTTTTAATCTTATTCAGTACATGTATTTAATTTTATTTTAATTACACTGTACTGTAAATCTAGTTTCTAGATAATGAAGTAATTTGTGTAAAAGAGGAATGTATATTTTAACTGTTCTACAGTTATAGAGTGTTGGTAGTAGCTTCAGTTTCCTAGCAACAGACATAATGTCATAAAATAGAAAGTGTATTTATCTATATGACACCATACCTGTAAGAGAGAGAGAGATCGGATATATTTGTATATTGTGCTTTATTGAATCGTAGAAACATAGAATTTAGTAAGAATGGTTATCATGCAAGATCAAAGAACTGAAATATTGAAAAAAGATACAGATATGTGTATTCATGAATGATGGATTTTCTAAGTTGATTTCCAATATGTTGATTGGCTATTCCCCGAGATTACAATTTTTCTTACATCTCTTTTTTCGCATTAAAATGTAGCATAACTTTTCATCTGTTGTAATATCATTGTCATCGTTCATATTTTGCGATTGGCCACCACAGGTCACATGACATGAAATATGACATGATAGTTCATATATTTGAGCCTGTAAAAGTGTGAATATTTCCAACCCTGAGCATTCTGAATAAGAGCGAGGCCCATAACTATATATGATGAAAATAAGAAACAACAGTGAATGATAAGAGTTTTCGAATCCATGGAAAAAAGTGATATCTGTGGAATAGTCATTGTATTCTACAGATATCGCTTTTTTCCACGCATTTGCAAAATCTATTTTTTCATTGTACATGTATTTTCATGAAAACCTGTATGACGGGAATTTCCAAACAATCGAATGACATATTTGTTTGATGCGCTTCAATTAATTGCCTAGATATTGTTCTGTAGGTGTTTCCCATAGGAAATGAAACTTAACTTTACATGACACTATTTAAGACCTACAGTGTAGGTATTGATTTTTCTCTATTGTTGGTGCTTTGACATCACATTTTATTTCATAATCTGCAAGGGATGGTGTCCATTTATCAACAGTAGTTGAAGTGCAGTTAATTACTTAGAATTTGAGCCCCCCTCATCAAAAACAAAGTTTTAAAATGTTGATTTGTCTTTCACTTGAGTTTTAAAAATTCAGCACTCTTCCTAAAGGAAACCATAATTTACCCCCCCCCCCCTGTTGATAATTGGACATTCTCTAAAGTAAGAAGGCTAATGTATCTTTACTTCTTGAAATGTAAACTTATGTTATGAGGTGTCTTGATTTAGATCTCCGAAAAATATATGCACTTAATATTGTATGAAAAAAATGAAAATAAACCTGGGAAGTTTGTTTCAGTACACATTAGTACTTGTAAGATATAATGATTGTGTTGTACAATTTTAATTTGTGTGTATTTACCATTCATATCATGCAAAATTGAATTAAACTTTTATACATATGCTAGAAAATGCTTCTTATGTTATTTATTTAGTGTACGCTGATATGGATATAACTATCGTACTTATTTATAGAGGGCAGTTAAGACACTTACAAGTGGACAGAAAGTGCTACACTTGAAAACTCCAATTGGGTCAACAGAATCCCTTTTCAGCTCTGTGGCATACAATATAAGGGAGGATGTTGTGTTGCACATGATTATTTGTTTAATCATCGTTTAGCATTTTGGCACAAACTCATTTTGTTCATCATTATTGTAACTTTATGTGCTACTTCATTTGAGTTTCTTTTGCATTATCAGACCCATTGGTTTCTATTTTTATTTTATCATTTTTTGCAAGTCGTGAAATGACAAAAATATATGAATTTTTACACTTGAAATGAACAAATCACGGCTTTCAAGCTAATTTACAATTAGCATCTAGCCAATTAGCATGTAGCTATCTATTATGTGATAACCACTTTCAAATATAAACACATGTTTTCATTGGATCCTGGGATATTACCCAGCCTTTCAGTAGGTGATATAAGTTCTAACCTAAAGTGAATCTAAAAGCGAAGCGAATCTAAAAACTATTCGAGACATTTTTTAATGCTACTCTTGAGAAAAAATATGTTTATCTTATAATTTTCAAATATTTAAATTTCCTTTCATTTAATAAAAAACGAAATATTTTTAGACCATTGAAAATAACAGTTAACACTGGATTAATTCTGAAACATAGGATCAATTCTTATTCCAAGGGCTGATGTGAAAAAGCCACTCCACTTGGTGGGCATCAACCCCATCCCCTTGATTGTCATATTCTTTACCCAACCTATTTTCGTAATTTAACAATCAACATCAGTATACATACCAGCAGCAGCAGGCATACCATATATTATTTAACAGTGATAGAATTTGAATAGAATATGATTCAAAACCTCAGTATTTAAATCTATGGTTTGGTTAAGGTAACACATTTAAAAATGGGATGGATAAGATTCACTGGTGTGGTATTAGTGAAACTAAAATTTATCTGGTGAGCAAGTATACACCAAGTCTTACATCACTAACTGATCAAATTGTTAGCAAATACTCCTAGTTTCAATCATTGAATGTATGAATCCAATTTTTGACACAAAATGTTAGTTTTTATAATACCTTGTACAAGAGAATGGAAACCAATATTGAAATCAGTGGCCTAATGTATACTTACCATTTACCTAGTTTTTACAGTACGGCATTCGACCAATGAACGTCGCACCTGTTATCGAAATGCATTGTGGGTAATTATCTTGAAAACCCAGTTCCGGGTAAGAGCAGAAGAAAATGGCAGCGCTGTTAGAAGGTGAACAATATGGACTCACTTCAACAGCTTCTCCTGGGGCCCACATTAGTGTATTACACGTAAAACTTACAGATTCAGCACTGAAAGCAATAGATGAATACAACAAGATCAAGGTAGGAACTTTTAAGGTAGTTTATCTTACAAATATCGAACTTCAAACTGACGATATTTTCGGAAAATATTGTCCATATTTTTTTTACAAAAGATTATTTTTTCATCTTCTTTATTTACCAAATAGCTATAGAAAGTAAAAGTATTTGTGAAAGTATTAGTTGTTTGTAAATTTTGAAATAATCTCTATTGAAATCATTTGATGTATTTCACTTATGGGAAATTATACATTTGGGAGCAACAGCTGTCATTGTCAAATCAAGTTAGAATAGATCTATTGGCCTGAGTCTAAGTTGTCGATCGGATTGTAGATCTTTTCGTATATCTCTAAGCTCAGTATAGGTAAAGGATATTTTTAATTAGAACATCGCAGAACAGAATGTATGAAGGAGATGATAATAATTATCTTATTCTGACCATTTTCAATGCTAGACATTGAATAGGCTAAGTACCCGAAATATAATGTACTTTTGTTGTGGAATAACAAAGTTAGTTTCGTTTGGGGAGGGGATAAATTATGGTTTCGTTGGTGAAAAATTTTGATTTCTTCAACATAAGTTCTGTAAGATTAGGGGAGGGAGGTCAAACGAAAACGAAATAACTTTTCCACAACTGTTGAGTAATCATGTTTGGAGAGTTTAGTCCCATACTCTTAATCTGACACTTAGAACTTTAGCTATAAAAATTGATTAAATAAAGCTATACTTCACTTTTTCACCTTGTATTAGGTCGATTTCGAATGATCATGTTTAACCAAATTATTGTACAGTACAGAGATTTGATTAGAATTGTGGCAAATTATTGGATATTATTTGATAACTCAGAAACTGTAGCAAAATTCCCCAAAAAGTCAATTTTGGTAAAAACTGTCTCATCAGAAAATCACCCATTGGCTAATGAAACCCTCATGTTTATCCTTAGTTGAATAACATTCGTTAAAACAAAATTGGTTTTGCGTAAACACTTATCTTAGGAATGTGTTCTTCTTAATGTGTTACTACCGATGGGGGGGAGAGTAAGATGACATGATATCATTTAGATGAAGGGGGAAAGTGAGCTTAGGTTATTTTTCAGAAATCACTAGTGTTGTGAATGAGCAATTGAAACTGAAGGAAATCAACATTATTTTGAAAGATATGCTTTGAATGATTCATACAGAAACTTAAATTGGAAAGAAGAAAAATTTGAATTTCATTCAAAAACTCATCTTCACAGCACCTAGAGTAAGATTGGACAATTGTTTTAAACTAGAAAAAACTGGTAAGGCCAAACAAAAATATATGTCCGTTTCCGGAACCCCGACCGACCCTAGTTTGAACCCCCGACCCTAAGACATTTTTTAGTACACTGAAAAATAAAATATTCTATCTCTGGCCCTACTCGATTGAAACAATACATTTCCTTCTGAAATGTTTTACTCACATCAGGCCCAGGTGTCCATATTGCTCATACCCTTGAACATTTGCAGTAATATTATCGTTAGGGGCCCCAAAACACTTGAAACACAGGAAATATTGTTTATTTTCTTGAAAAGTTCGCCATTTTTGCTCTTCAAAATAGAGGCCCGCAATCAACTCCCAGAGGGGTCTAGCAATTGCTAGGGAGACATCTATAACACTAAGTACTAACTTGGTTTCGGGTTTCACCCCCTTCAATAAAATTTGCAATTCCCATTTTACCATGCAGATTTGAAATAAGAAAAATAAAATCTTGGGGAGGGAAACCCGAAAACACAACAGCTATTTGCATAAATCAGCCTGACCTTTCACCTAGGAATGTTTATAGTGGGAAATTTGAATTTGAATGTTTAGACCACATGATTGGTCTATTATAGTTTGATCTGATCACATGACTTATCATCATCATTATCAAGTTTAGGAGGGGTGGAGGCTTTATACCCTTTAATGTTCTCCCATCTGATCTATTAAAATTAAAACTGAATTTAGGGAAGGGGACTGATTATTGCTCACTAGTGGCTATTTGTAAAGATCTGAGTACCATGCCTTGTCCAGGAGGGTTTTGAAGTGGGAAACTGACGTGGCATCAATGATACTCTGGGAGAGAATTCCAATGTACCAGATGAAAATGTTATGTTCTCACAGAGACAAGTTTTCTCTGAATTGTTTGAATTAGAAATATTCTTCTAAGGTCTTCTAAAGCTGATTCTGTTTATTTTTGAGTCAGAAAAATTATATTTTTGAGGCATATGTTAATATGATGACAACTTTGTAACCTCTGCTGATCCAGTGCTAAATATACTGATATTTGATTTCCATGAAGGCCTTTATCCAGAAGTTTCGAATGTTATGGTGGAATAAAATTGATAATAGATCAACAGATCAATAGACTTGTTTATTATTATATAGGCCTATTGTAAAGGAAAACTTTGTCTTATCGCGATAATAACAATTTCAAGCGATAATAACAACTACCTTACTTTGGTATTTAGTTACCTAGAAAAAATCTTACGTAACAATTTTCAATACCAGGTGAGAAAGTTAAGTTCGAACCCTGACCAAGTTGTTTATTTAGTTCAATATCTGAAGGTTTTAAGTAAGTACGGATCAAATGATTATAGATTGCATGATGAATTAAGGTCTCATGGCAGTTAAGAGCAAATGACAAAATGAAGAGATGACAAAAAACATAAGATAAAATATTTTTCTGACTGACCTACCCTAAAAAAAAATGAGTAAAATTTTAATGAAAAATAAAATAATCCTCCTACCTACCTACCCTAATCTGAAAATACATGGAGCAGGAAACAGACATATATTTTTGTTTGGCCTAAAGACTGTATGTTAATGTTGTGGCTTCTTTAAATTAGAAAAATCTGCGGAGGCTGGGAGAATATCACAATAAGAGTTCAGGCTGACCTTTTCCTTCTATGTGTATGTCTGAATGTGTAGTATCACTTCAAACCTTCTTATTCAAGTTTGAAAGAACAAGGAAATAATCACGATGAGAGTAATCTATAGTGAAATTCCTTCTTTAGATCACAGGAAATGAAATAATCAATAATTCAATATCCAGAAAAATATCTCATTTTTATTAGGATTTTTAATGTAGCTTAAAGCTTTCTGTATTAAAGGTTAAAACGAAGTCTCATATTGAAGTTATATGGATAGCCTCATTCAGTGCAGAATGTAGGCCTAAATAGTTTTTAATGGCAGCTGGTATAGTAGTATAAGAGTTAGACAACTAAATGTAATACATCTTGCAATAGCTCTACCACCAAATTTTCCTGGGCATATTATTTACTGAACTAACCCGACCTGATTCTCCTACTTTGTGTGATAAATGGTCGACTAAAGGCAGAACCTGTTGCCAGCAAACTAAAATAGATAATCAGCTTGTGTGTATTAACAGTAATGCTTGGTAATATGACCTGAAAGCCTCTGATAATTATGGCTTGGTTGGTATTTGGAGTAATTCTATGACCCTAAGCAATGACCTTACCTTACTTACCAAGCTATTGTTTTAATGAAACTAATGAGTTTTAGGTTAATTGTTCATCAGGAATAATGTTATTTTCCCTTTGGCTAAATATGAACTCAGATCTTGAATAAGGACATGTAATATATATTATGACATTCTAGCCAGCTACAATCAGGGTATGATATTACTTGTATGTTAAGTTTATGAATTTTATAAATCAGCTGGGTATAACTTACATAATACTAGTCAATTTAACCATTTGTTCTAATATTACATCATAGATATTATTGAAGTACATGTACTCAAGGACAAACGTGTACAGTAACACCTGTCTTAGTGAACACCTCTATCTCTAGTGAACACCCATCTCTAGTAAACACCATTCATTTGCACATCCTCTACCGACTTCTATATAAATTACCCTCTCTGTCTGTAGTGAACGCCTACCTTAACTGAACGTCTTTCTTGGTAACAAAAGTGTTCAATAGACACAGGTCTCACTGTAGTTACTTAACACATCTCTGCTCATATTGACAATTCAGCTTATAGATATCTACCAATCGTGAGATATCACGGCCTTCTATCAGTTTCCTTCCAGTCTTTGCATAATAGAGATGGTCTGAGTATCAGAATGTTATCTACCTTATTTATAAACAATTCAGTTCAAGTTGGTCATAGATCTCTTTCAAGAGACCAATTGTACATTTATGTCAACAGTAATATGGTAAGCTTGTTAGAATTTGATATCTGTTACTCTCAAAGAGTTCGACTTTTAATTTCTCTAGCCCCCCCCCCCCTCCACTATTTTGAAACCCAGACCCATTACTGGGAACTGGTAGGGGGAGATAAACATTTTATTATATGGCTAACCCCTAGATTTTAGTCAGGAATGTAACATGGTTGAGTGATAAAACACTGGTACTGTTGGTATAAAACACTAGCTCATATCAGTCAAAATTGAATCAAACAATTTCCTGAATTTAATACATATAGCATCAGAGCTTTCAAAAGGGACATGTTAGATCTGCAAATCTTTAACTCTCTTGTTTCTTGATCAGAGTTGGACTTCTGATATGTTCTCTGTTAACTTGTAAGAAGGACGCTTATTACACCACATTGTGTACCATTAGAAAGGCATGAGTGTCCAGTGTATATTAAAGTGACCATTGATTAATAAGTTATTAAGTTGATTAATTAACCATTTCATCACCAGGGGTTCTTACGACTCCATGGGGAGCTTTTTAGAAACTAATTTGATAAAACATCTGTGTGTTTGGTGAATTAGAATGTATTTTTTTATATTTCAGAAACTGTCTTAAAGGTTGAATCAGATCTATAGGGGGTGACAAAATTACAAGCAACATGTACAATTGACCTACCAATCTGTTCCTTACAATCTCAAATACAATATCTCCCAAAAGATTCACAATATGTTATAAATTGGTGAAGTTATTGATGATTCAAAGTGCAAAAATGGGTGGAAAGTGTATAAATTCTCCCAAATAATAAGAATGGTAACCATTCTTATAGAAAAATAATATATTATTGTAAAAATCTTTAGTTT